TGAGATACTTAAGTCAAAAAGCAAGCACGAATAAAGGTATTCGAGAATAGCAAGAAATCCACAAATTCAACTTTGCCAGACTAGCACAAGGACTAGAAGTAGAGTAAGTGCATGGGCTGGCCAGTGGCGTGGTGAGTAATGCAGCTAGTCCCACACGGATGACACAGTGGTTCAAGTCCTGGAACCTGTGTCTTGGAAAACATGCTAGATGCCGAAATACCAAGAGGAGAAACGGAGGAGAAGAGACTGGTGTGGCTATCCCGGTGATTTCTTACCTCTCATCCTCTCTCTCCCTTCCTCCCCCACCCCATTTCTCTGTCTCTCTCTGACAAGTACACAAACCCTCGAGCAAATTTTAAAGAGAGAGAAAGAGAAATGCCAAGCAGATTTTAGCATATAGTAAGGGCTCAAAACATGGCAGCTACTATTAGTAGGAAGACAAGGATGACATCCATTTCACTACAACAACCATTTATTAGGAAACCAGACTCGAGAAATCGTGTACGATAATTTGCATGGCGATCTTAACTTAATCGTGGGGTCGAGTTGGAGATGAGGAACAAAACTAGACACATCCGGGGAGCTGCTGCTCGTGCAGACATGGAGAGCAATGGGAAAGACGTGGGAGTCATCCGTGTGATGGTTACAGCTGGTGACGAGAACGGAAACACTCTTTTATGGGACAAGTATTGAAAAATAAAGGAGAGGGGGACCAGCAGTTAGAGTATTGGCTATGGCGCTGGACTCCCATGTAGTCGACCGCGGTTCACATCCCAGACCCAGTGGCTTAAACTCACGCCGGGCGCGTGTACGTGCGTGCCCAAGATCCTGAGAGGAGAACGGAGGAGAAGGGATTGCGGTGTGGCCATCCCTTCTGGGGGGTGATTTCTTGCTTTCTATCTCTCTGTCTCTCTCTGTCTGTCTGGTGAGCACACGCGCCCTATAGCAAAAACCTCTCAAAAAAAAAAAAGAAAAGAAAAAGGAGAGGGCCTGACGTGAAAACTGTGTGCTTACAGTATTTCCTAATCTGTCACTGCCATCCCTCCCCTTACAAGCTCCAAGCCCACACTGGTATTCTAGTCAGGGAGAGGTCCGAGAATGCCGTAGTGAAGAGAAGCTTACGCAGACACCCGGACTAGGAAGCCGGGTGCTGTGGTGCGTGCCTGGAATCCCAGCTACTCTTGGGAGGCTGAGGCAGGAGGACCGTGAGTTTTGAGGCCAGCTTGGGTAACACAAACACAAACACCACAAGAAGAAACAGTAGGCTCACCACAACCACTTTATCAACTGTTTCCAGGTTGTCTCTGAGATGTAGGGCCAGGTAACCTCGTGCGTTTACAGGTCATCCCTATGTGAGGTACCTAAAAATTCTGGGGTCCCTTCTGGGGTTTCCCCATGCACTAACCTGGGCCGTAACAAACCAAATCACCCAACTCTACCCGTATCCTGCAGTGAATCGCCAGCGGCACAGAACCACTAATCTGTGTGTGAAGGCCACGTGCTTCCACAGCCACAGCCCGCGCACCAAATGTGGGCCAGGTTCTGCAGAAGGCACCGGTGACGGCCTCCTACAGGCACCCTGGCCACAGCGATGGGAGCAGAGCCACCTCTGGACTCCCACATGGCTGACCACGGTTTGAGTCCTGGACCTCGTTAGTGGCTTGAAAAACACTGGACGCATGTATGCGTACGTCCCCAAAATCCCGAGAGGAGAATGAAGAAGGGATTATGGTACGGCTATCCTCTAAGGAGGGGGGGAATCTCTCATTTTCTGTCTCTGTCTAGTGCATGTGCCCTATACCAAAATTACTCAGAAAAAAAAAAAGAAAAGGAAAAGAAAAAGTCATTCACATAGGGGGCCCGACAGTGGCACAGTGGCAAAACGACATGCTCTAACAGGATGAGCCATCTGGGAAGGTTCTAGGCTTCATCGGGACACCGCTCTGAGTGCTCCAGATAGGCATGTGCCTATGAGACTAAGGAGGATTATGGCATCTGGACCCTGAGAGGGCTGCTGTTTGTCACTCTCCCTCACTCATGGAAGAAACAGAGAAACTTTTCCTTCCCACTCACGTAGTCATCATTAACAGCGTCAGGAAATGAGCCAAGACACTCCAAAAAGTGATCTCCCTCATTCCACCTGCAGCTGCACTCCAGCTCACTCTGTCAACCGTCACTACACCAAGCACTTAGCAAACATGACTGTGTGTGTGTTAGAGAAAGTCTGCTCACACGGGGTGTACCTTACACTGTTAGTGCCACATGCCACCAGGTAGATCCCTACAGCGCCTTTCCTTCTGCCACCTTCAGCCCGAATGGGATATTCCTGTTCCCATCTCTGCTTTCTTTCTCCATCACCAAAAAAGAGGCAAAAACATGAACCTCTGAACTCCCGCTCAAGACCTTCAGCCCTCATGATCATAAATCCCCAAGGACCCCGGCTTTCTGGACAGAAAGGCCCCTGCTGATGCTCTACTCTCGGGCCTTCCTTCCACTGCAGACCCTCTGCTTCCTGGTTCCCTGTTTGTCTGAGCAGCTTTCCTGGCCAGAACTTCCCACCCACCTCGCACTTATGTCCATCCCTTTTGCTGAGAAGACACACAGCAAGAAGCAGGGCCCCCCTCCAGATGAGTTCATCTCCTTGGAAGAGGAGAATGTTACTGGCATCTTATGTGTGGAGGCCAGGAATGCTGCTCAGCATCTGGTGATGCACAGGACAGCCCCATGTAAAGAACAATCTGGGGACCAGCAGTGGGTGTAATGGCTATATTGCCAAACTCCCATGCAGTCGACCGTGGTTCAAGTCCCAGACCCAGTGACTTGAACTCACGCCAGGTGCATGTTCGTGCGTGCCCAAGATCCTGAGAAGAGAATGAAAGAGAAGGGATTGTGGCATGGCCATCCCCCCGGTCGGGGGGGGATGATTTCTTGCTTTCTGTCTCTCCAGCAAGTGCATCTGCCCTATAGCAAAAACCTCTCAAAAAAAAAGGGAAAGAACAATCTGACCTTTCGTGTCACCAGTGCTGGGGCTCTCTTACTAACTCTGCAAGGAACTATGTGAGGTTGCCCGGATCACACATATCAGTTACTAATCACATTACGAGGTGACCAGGAACAGACATGCACGTAGGCAATACGTCACTCTCAGAAATGAGCGACGGCTTGTTAATCTCAGTCTGTTAGGAGTGACCTTTACAGGAGATCAAGACAATGGTTCTACCCCTTTTCTCCAGCCACATATCCCACTTCCCAGGCAGCAAAGACACACTGCCACCACAAAGCTGTCTGTCACGCCTCAAATGTCTTCATGGAACACAGCTCTCGACAGTTACCTCCTGGAGAAACACTTCGCTGTGCAAATTCTAGCTGTGAGCTAATATTTCTGTAGAGATTCTGAAGTGATAAATGTTATGGAAGCAAGCCAATAGGTTATGTGAGGGAAGAGAAGACAGAACTCTGAGATGTGATCATCTCTCTTTTGCGTTTACTGGAAGTGGCATTTTCAGCTTCTTCTTCATATGCAGATGGTGGTTTCGCTTCCAAGGACCCAACCCTGACCCTTGAGAGTTGGTGACAGTGACAGGGCTGCACTGATGCTCCTCCCTCCATCCTGACCATCAGACGGGAAGACACTGGCAAGCCAATCTCTCTCCTCTCCTGGGGAGCCAGACGATGCTCCTGAATCTTGCAGTTGGAAACGGGCAGATACTCAGGTGGAGAACAAAACGTGTGGTAAGAGGCCGACAGCTGAAGGGGCTGCTCAGCATCCCCCTCCCTTGGCTGTTGGCAATTAACCAGGCTGTGGTGGGAGGCTCGGAGCCCTCGCCCTCGCAAGCTATCCTACAGGTAATGATATTGGCCGCCGCCTACCTTCCAGTTGGTTCTTAACATGTGTTCCTTGGCTCGGCACTCTTGGAAGATGAGCTTCCAGCACGAATAATCGGAGATGCTGCTCTGAGGAAGGTGCCCTTCCTGCTGGCACAGCCTGTACCATAGCACCTCGTCTTCCGCAATCACCTTCCATGTCTTGCTCACCTAAAACAGCACAAGTGACACAAGCGTCAAGTTCTGCAATTAGAGAAGTCCCTCGCCATCCAAAAATCAATCAACACCTATATTATTGCCCTGGGTTTATGGCAGTATAAAATGTCTCATTAACAAAACACTCTGAGGTAAAAAAAATAAATAAATAAAAAATACGAGCAAATGTTTCCAGTTTTATCTTTCAAGCTTTCAAAACTGTTGTACCACCATGTAATGTCACATTTTAAATGAGTTGGTTAAATTATTATCTAACAGATAAGAGGAAAAAATACACACGAAAATACATAAAATGCAAAAAAAGACAACACGAAGAAACTTTACCATGGCAATTATCTGTCTACACAGTTTTTCAATACAAACTCTACTTTTTACCAAAAACACTTGTATTTTCCACCTTAAAAACGGGAAATTATGGCATCTGAATTTATGGCTGTAATAAAATGAACACTCATAACTCATATTTCTGGTTATATAAGACGTTCAAATTTATATTACATGTGAGAACTCAGATTTTAAATGTACAGATTAAAAAAAAGATCCTACATAGAGAAATTAATGTTATGTCTGGCCTAAATTTAAACTCCCAACAGTATCCAAAGGAAATGGTGGTATTAGCTAGTTGTGTTTTATTTTCCAACTCTAATTTAGGGGACGAGCGGATTTACTTTATTGCAGGACAAAGGACGAAGCTGGCCAGTCTGCAAACGCGTGCTCTGCCTGCAAGGTGAGAGACCGACCCAGCAGAACGACACCACGGAGGGTCTGCGGTGCGTCTTGGATCACGATCAGGTGCTCAGTTCTTGCTGCCCATCCTAAGACTGAAACTCACTTCTAAAAAAGTGAGGGGGTGACTTCTGCTCTTTTACACTCCCTGAGGGCCCCACTGAGACATCAAAGACAGAGACAAGCAGAGAGAACATGAGGCGCAGTTAGAACATATGGAATGTGCATGGCACACGCACAGCGGATCAGGGTGCCTTCAGCTGATGAAGTACTGACCGACAGGGAGCTAACTTTCAGGATACCAGAGTAAAGACCTCTGAAAATCTGCTTTTCCATAACGGCAACAAGAATACTGCCAAAAACTGTCACAATCAATGTCTTTAGAACTCTGGGAATTAATTAAAGGCTTGAAATATTTTATTTTATTTATTTATTTATTTTTGCTATAGGGTGTGTGTGGTCTCCAGAAAGAAAGAGATAAACAGAGAGACAGAAAATGAGAAATCACCCCCTGAGGAGATGGCCACGCCACAAACCCTTCTCCATTCTCCTCTCGGTATCTTGGGAGGGCACATAAGCACACGCACCCGGTGTGAATTTAGGCCACCAGGTCCAGGACTCGAACTGCAGTCAACTACATGGCAGTCCAGCGACATAGCCATTACGCCAACTGCTGGCCTCCAGGCTTATAGTATTCTAAAGAACTTTTTTTAAATGGCTGAATTTCAGTAAAAACAATGATCTTCGAATTATTTTAACTTGTACTAATCCCATCTCCTCCTCCAGCTTCACAGTGGTCATAAAAACCAACAGACTTCCAACAATGGCTGCTGTACAAAAACAACAGCCTAGCAGCCACCGGAGGAGCTAGATAGGTTTAGAGCTCCCTAAAAATCCAACCCCAGAGAATTATCACCATTTGATTTGTCTGGCATCCTGCTGGAAATCTCTATTCCTGAGACGTGTCTTTATCTAAGTTCTCTGTCTTATCTCCAGGGCATTTGTCCAGAACAAAATGGAGCAACTGTTTAACATTGTAACGGCCTGAGAGGGCATTCCAGCTGGCTGACCAATAAGCAGCTGGCCAAAAAACTTAAATGGAAAAACGGGAATGGGATGTCCATAAGGGGCCTTGAAAGGCTCTGATATATTTCCAAGAGTCTAGAATGCCATGTGTATGTATGAGGCCATGCGCATGTCCAGTAAAGACCTGAGAAAGCTCTGATCTCTGCAATCTGGCTGACCTTGAGGCTCTGCACCAGCAGGAAGTGAAGGCTAAGGCAGGGTCCTCAACTGCTGGGCCAGTGAAGGGGTGCCCCAACATACAGAGAGCACCCCAGCCAAGGCGCTTACTTACTGCCGCAGCACATGTAAGGAAACGTCTGTCCTATCACTAGCTAGCCACCAAGCTAACCAAGTAGAGACTTCAGTGGCCACAAAGGACAAAGAATACAAACTTGAGTAACAATCCTGAGAAGTCACTAAACAAACAGCAGCAACAGCAAAAACAACAAACAGCTGTAACAAACTTACAGGAATGAAACTGATTTCCAGAACTGCCATGTTATTGTTTCACATGTCAGGCTTTTTGGTTTTGTTTCTAGATTTTTACTATAGGGCACAGGCACTTGCCAGAGAGACAGAAAACAAGAAATCACCCCCAGGGGGATGGCCAAGCTTGCAATCCCTTCTCCTCCATTCTCCTCACGGGATTTCTGGGTGCACATGCACCTGATGTTTTAAGCCACCGGGTCCAGGATTTGAACCATGGTTGACTACATGGGAGTCCAGCAATGTAACCATTATACCATCTGTTGGCTCCTACTTGTCAGTTTTTAACCAGTAATTATGAGCCCTACGTAGAAACAGGAAAGTGGGGGTGTGGGGGGGGAGCAATCAATAGAAACTGTCCTTCAGGAAGTTCAGCCACTGGACTTACCAGAGATCTTAAATCAGCTATTATACATATGTCCAAAATGCTAAAGGAAAGCAAACCTAACAGAATAATGTAAAGTATAAGAACAGTATCAGAGCAAATACAGTCTACTAATAAAGAGATGGAATTAAAAAAAAATAGAAGTTCTGGAGTTGAAAAGTACAGTACATGAAACAGAAAAATTCATTACAGGGGCTAGTTACAAATTCAGACTTGAAAAATCAGCAGACGTAAGGACAGGTCGGTTGAGATTATCCAGTCCAAGTTTAAAAAACCCAAAACAACAACGAAAATTGAAGAAAACGAACAGATAAAATCCTCAAAGACATGCAGAACACCATCCAAGTGCGCCAACATACACGAAAGGGAGATAGATTAGAGCAGGGGATTTAGTACATTAGAACTAAGTGGGTATCAATCCAAACCAGATTACTTTAAATAACGATGTTCATTGTAATCTCCAGGGTAACCATTAAGAAGATAACTTTTAAAATACTGTAAAAGGAACAAGGAAATCAAAATGGCATACTAGAAAATTTGTAACACAAAAGACAACAGTGACGAAGGCACAAAGGAGCATAAAAGACATAAGACATATAGGAAGAGGCTAAAACGCATGAAGCAAAAATTAGTCAGAATCTGGAACCAGCAAATGGTATAATGGCTACATCGCTGGACTCCCACATAGCTGACCGCGGTTCGAGTACCAGACCCAGCAGCTTAAAACTCACACTTGTGTGTGCATACCCTAAATCCCAAGAGGAGAATGGAGAAGGGATTGTGACATGGATATCCCCCTGGGGGTGATTTCTCACTTTCTCTCTGGTGAGCACACGTACCCTATAGCAAAAATCTCCCTAAAAAAGAAAAAAAAATAGTCAAAATTTAAGAACTCAGCTTGTCTAATTCTCAAAATGTCTTGACTTTCCATCTCATGCAAGCCATGTACCAAAAATGATAATTATTACAATACTGTATTCAGCCAAAATCACATCCAAGTGATACTGACGGCATCAGAAGTTAGGCCAGGTAGCATAAATAAGTAGCAAGGCTTTATCGTTTTTTTCTGAATCAAAGAATTACACTGTAATGCTAAAGGTGTCACATTGGCTCAAGCCTTCAACAGTTTAGAAACTGAAGAATTAGGAAGGCCCTTGGAAGGCTACACAGTAGCACAGTGGTTAAATGCCCTCTAGGGGGAGCCACATCCCACACAGCCAACCGCAGTTCAAATCTCAGCCCTGGTGGCTTAAAAAGTACACCAGTTGTGTGTGCACACCTGCTCGGGATGCTGACAGGAAGAAGAAATAGAGAAAAAGGGATTGTGGCATAACCAGACCCGACTGTTGGGGGGGGAGTTTAGGGGTGTTTTTTCTCTCCTCTCTTCCTTCCCCTCCCCAGAGCATGCACAAAAAGGGGGGAAGGGAAGACCTCAAACTATAAAACTACTGGTGGAAAACATTGAGGAAACTCTGGAAGACATTGGGACAGGCAAAGACTCTTAAATAAGACCTGCAAAGCACAGGCAATAATCCCCAAAATAGACAAGTGGGATTGTATCAGATTAAAAAATTTTTGCACAATAAAAGACACAGTAATTAGTGTAAACAGACAACTCTCAAAATGGGAGAATATTTTTGTAAACAATGCCTCAGATAAGGGACTGATAGTCAGAATACACAGGGAACTCAAGCTGCTTAACCTGCCCCCCCCCAAAAAAAAATGACCAACTCAATTAAAAGATGAAAAAATGAGCTGAACAAACAACTCTCTAGGGAAAACATACGAATAGCCAAAAAGCATATGAAAAAAAATGCTCATCATCTCTCATCAAGAGAGAGATAGAGATGAAAACTACAATGAAACACCACCTAACCCGTCAGAATGGCAAAGATTAAAAAAAAAAAAAAATGGTAAGTGCTAATAGGGCTGTGGTGAAAGGGGAAACTTCCTCACTGCTAGTGGGAATCTAAATTGGTCCCACCACTGTGGAGAACAATATGGAGGTTTCTCAAAGATCTACAAATAGAGCTCTGATTTGATCCAGCAATTCCACTCCTGGGTATCTATCCAAAGGACGGGAGAACGCTCAGCTGGAAAAGTACTTGCACATCTATGTTTACTGCAACATTATTCACAATTAAGACAAGGAACCAACCTAGATGTCCACGAACAGATGAATGGATTGAAAAAGTTCAGCACATATATTCTATAGAATACTACTCAGCCGTTAAAAAAAAAAAAAAAAAAAAAAAAAACCTGGACCTTGGCTTCTGATAGAAAGTGGACAAATAATAGCTGGAAGATTTACTGCAGAGTGAAGCGAGCCAGG